GCCTCCAAAGTTTGTTATTGGCTTTTTTTTTAAAAACTGATCTGAGGTAATAAAAGACTTGACAGAACGAAATCTTCCAATGTACTTAATAAATAGACATGTGAACACCTAAGACCTCGCATGAGCTGTCTTTCCTCCCCCATGTAACAGACAGAGAAAAGGTCACTGACACAGGTCACCTTTACAAAACCAAAATCCAACGTGGTTGATTCTGTAATAACGGGATGTGTAGGGAGCGTGTTTCTTTCCTCTTCCTGCCTTGGCCAGCTCAGGTGAAAGCGGGAGACGGGGTGGCAGCCAGAAGGAAAGGCTGGAGAAGACAGGTTCGGGTGCCCTTCCTCTCACGGATGGACATCTGGCAGTTCACAAGAGCCTCAAGCCCTTCTCCCTTCTCCCATGGCGCTGCAAAGAGGGGCAGGCTTCCCCAGCTATCCAACGGGAGGAGGGAATTGACAGACACGAGAGAACCCCCTGTTTGGAGATAAAAATGGAGCTGCTGCTAATGTGGCTCCACCTTGTCCCATGAAGGGACACTTAGAGAGTCTCCTAGTGAAGTCCCCAGCTCCTGAGAGGCAGGGGAGAGGGGATGCTTTGGGCAGTGTTCAGGGAAAGAAGGCACAGGGCTTGATTGTGCAGCAGGCGAACACGCTCTGGAGAGGGGCTTGGGTGGGGCACAAGAGGGGAAGGTGGGGAGGATGGAGGGGAGCTCTGCAGGGTGGGTCTTTTGCTCCTTTCAGTCAGCAAAATGTCACTGGAGCCTCCCACTCTGGATTCATATTTTCAAAATCAAAGTATTTGAGGAAGGTTGGGACCTTTTCAGAGACAGGACAAGTTAGGGAACACAGCAAAGAGTAGAGTTAGACAACTGATGGGAATATCAAAGCTGGGACCCCAAGCTCAGATCCTAGACGGCCCTTAGGCCTCTCCCAAGGCTTCTCAACACTCACTCCCCCAATAACCAGGTCCTGCCCTGGAAGAGCCTTGGCAGATGGCTTTGAAAGCAGCAGTGGCCACCCCAGGACTCCGTAAGAGTTGGCTTTCATGGTCTGTCTGGTCCTAGACATGCCAGCTCCTGGTCCTCGATACCAAAGCTCAGTTAGGAGACAGGGCCATCTCAACAGACTCATTTACCACCACTTTAGAAATACGAGAAATCTCAGGGTGATGGTAAAAACCAAATACCACACATGTGAAAGTTCATGGTCAAGGTTGATCTCCCTAGCACGTAGACACCACACATACCTGACAAGTGTAGAAGTAGATAACCAATAATAGCAAGAACACATTTTTACCAGCTTTCAATTGCTTCAAAAGACCCTGTTAGCAAAGAAAACCTATCTGCCTCTAGAACTAAATCAACGGTTCCATAGGGGCCAGAAGGAAGAATGGTCAAATTTGACTTAATTCAGCCAGGTCCTTTCCACTTTCTTAATCATCACAACTTAAAAAAAAAAGTGTAGGTAAGGAAGACAATAGTTAAGAGAGAGTGGAGAAGTTTGACTGGAAGGGTAGAAAGAGCTACAGGGCTTTAGGTATAAGCTTTCAAAATGGGAAAACAATTTTAAAAACAATCACTCTATGGGCTAATTCCATACATTCCATTCCGGCTTCCCACACATTTCATTTGAGAATATTTGTCTTGCTGAACCCTCAACTGAGGTTATAAATGACACAGACTCATAAGGTAAAATCCAGAAGTCAGGAGATGGCAACATAAGCATGAATACTGGGGGAGAATTCGGTTGGAATGAATGCTAAGAAGATCGTATCATTTCTTTAAAAATGACAACTGATACACTCAAGGAGTAGGTTTTACTGTTCACCACCCAGCAGGGGTTTGACTAGGTCCTGCTACAAACCCCAACTCAAGTTTAAGTTGAAATCCTTATGTATGTTCTCTTGCCTCTTCGTGGTCAGGCAGGGCTCACACATACTTGGGAGCAGCTGACATGACAGCGAAAAGTCCCATCATCATCTCATAGATGGAAGAGATGAACAGGAAATAGAAAAAGCAAGAATGGGAGGCAGAGAATGAAGTTCAAACTGATGTCTCCAGGCTATGGAGAGGGCTGTCAGTGGAGGAGGGAACAATTTGCACCTGGCTGCAATCCACGGCATTGTTGTTTGTGTTGGCGGATGGAGTGACCTCACCATCCAACAGGAGCACCCTAGTCCCAGACTTAGGAACCTTTTCAAAAATTTTCTCCGCTTGCTCATCCAGGAGTGGTGTTCGTGGCCCCTCCTCATCTATGGCGAATTCAGGATGGGTCATGAAGTTGTGGATGGAGTTTTGGTTCTTGGGTGTCTGGATGCTTTCATGGAGGGAACTATGGAATGCTTTGACCACTTTGATCTATACCAGGGGGAGGAAGAGAAGGATGAGAAAATACAGATATGAGAATTGGCCAGTAGAACAAGAAACTGGTGGTTTGAGGAGAGAAACAAAACCCAAACTACCAAACATTATTGATCAATGACAAAAACCATACGATAGGACACGAAAAACATTTACGTGGCTCAACTTTCAAGCACGGGGGTGGGGTGAGGTGAGAAATGGCAAACAACTAGGATGTTTTAAAAGCTGCAGTAAAAAAATAGAAAACCCAAAGCAAAGTTAGCATTCCCAAACAATTCACTCTTAAATGAAACAGAAAAACAAAAAGATTCATTAGTTCTTTTGAACAGAGGGCACAAAGGTTGGAACGAGGTGCAAATTAATAGCCAAATTTAAAAGGTGAGTCAGACATGTGGACTTCTGTATTGAGGCCAAACATTGTGTGAACGTGGAATAAAAAGATTACACATTGAGGTTTAGTTATCTGTTTAAAACCCTCAGAGAGCCCAACACATTCCAATCTGTACATAATACACTTTGGGTGATAAGTGACCATGAATACAATGCAGCAAGGCAGACAAACCAATCTTCATGTGTGTCAGCAGCATGCAAGAAATTAGAACTTATACTTTTCAATCGAAGAATTGCTCTTTCACCAGGTAACACGCATATATTTATATCCCACAACCTCCACCCTGTCCCCTTCCTTCTGTCCTTCCCCTGGAAGACGTGGATGAAATACAGGTACCAAAGGTATCAAAAGACACCTTCCTCCTGATACTGAGAGAAGACCTGGCCCTCACACTCAGATGCACATCTATGTCTCTGACATATGGCAACTCTGCCCAGTCTCATCGCTTCCTCCAGCTATTTTTAAATTGCAAAGAGAGGCATGATCTTACGTGGAGAAGGAAAAGGATGGGACTTAGGATGGGTGTAATCCTGGGGGCAGTGCTACAAACAAGTGGCTTTTCTCATGGGGTGGATGAAGAAGATGACGGAAAAAAACCAATGTGTAGTTTTACTTTGCGCAGAAAGGGATGCAGTCAATTTAGAGAAAGGGGAAAGAATTGACCATAATTAATCTCTGAGACCAGACTGTGCCTTACCCAACACCACCCACTTTGGTAACCTGCTTTTCTGAATTGCAGGTCTCTCTAAGGCAGATGTGGGGAACCTTTTTTGTGCCAAGGGCCATTTGGATATTTATAACATCACTAGAGGCCCGGTGCACAAATTCGTGCATGAGTGGGATCCGGCCGGCCTGCCCCGATGGGGGCCCATCGGGCCAGGCCAGCGGGGGGGGGAGGGGCCGCAGGCAGTTGGCCAGCTGGCCCCACCCCCAATTGGGGTGTTGGGGGCTGATTAGGGGCTGGGCTGGTGTGGGGGGAAGAGGGCTGATTGGGGCCTGGATCAGACTGGTTGGCTGCTGCAGTACATAGCATAGCCATTGGTCATTCTAGTCATTCTATCATTCCGGTTGCTGGGCTTTTATATATATAGATTCTCAGGCCACACAAAACTATCAACTTAAAAATTAGCCTGTTGTATTTGGTCAAACATTTAATTAATTCACCCCTAATGCTTTGGCAGGGCCAGACCAAATGATTTTGCAGGCCTTATATAGCCCACGGGCTGCATGTTCCCCACCCCTGCTTCAAGGGATGATTTTTTAGAACCTGCTTTAGTAGGATTGTGATCGGGAGAGAAAGTTGAATCCTGAGAGTTTGGAGAGAGAGGCCAGGGGAAAAGAAAAGCAGTTGTAGGATTTTCGTTGGTGGCTGATCCTAGTCTTGTTCGAAAATTCTTCCCTTGGAAAAGAAGTGGGAGTAACACAGGAGAAACTGTTGAGGTGGGGATGGGGGCTAGGGAGAAATGATGAGTGTTGGGTTAGGGCACCTCATACATTCCTCTGCTGTGTAACCAAAGAATACATTCCTGGAGAAGAGGTAAGAATGCGGAGACAGCAGAGCATACAGAGAGTCAGGCAAATAATTTGGTTGGATTGCCTGTCCCAATGCTTCCTATCACTGTGTGCAGAGAAGGTTCGCTGAAGTTGTACCTCTGCTGGCTAGACTTTCCTTATTCTATGACAGCCTGGAAGACCCACCAGGACTGAGGGTGCTCAGGGCTTAGAGGGCAAAGGATTCTTTGCCACTCAATAGAATCAATTCAACATCCCCGCCAAGCAGAATCAAGGAACCAGGGCACACATTCACCATGCTGAAGAGAAGATAAGGACCTGCTTTTCCATCCTTCTGTGATTCCTACTGACCACCTGATAGGTGAATTTTACCTGTTATGTTCTCTTTGATCCAGATCTAGGTGAGATTAGATGGAATAGAGTCTCCATCTGGTCTTCAGGAGGCCCCAAGTTTTAAGTGATCTACGTCAAACTTAGAACAAGGCAAGTTGGTTTGAGTAAACCTAAACCCAATGCCTACTCCCTTGGCCCTGGTCAAGAGAAGGGTTCAAAGCCATGCCACCCCCTACAGGGGTGATAAGATAGCCCACACTTTCCACCTGCTCTTGAGATTTCAAAATTTCTAACAAGTGCTGCAGGTACCTTTATACCATCAGTTGATCATCTTTGATACCAGTAGTTTTCAAACTTCCTGCTTCTGTTGTTTTAAGCATTGAGTACTTTATAGAAAGAATTATATTTGAAGTCTAATGTATAAAACAGATTTTTAAAAACTGGGGTTGTAGTGAGGGTCTGGAGCCCTACTTGCTGGCTTTTCCTCTCACCTGTTGGGGTGATCATAACAACTGTTACAGGTAAACAATAAGGGAGATAGAAAAGTGAATTGGGGGTGGATAAATGGAAAAAATAGGGAAATTTTCTTCTTTGGGAGAGCAAGGAACAGCCATCTGGCTAGACTGCAGGACTTCTGGAATCTAAAGGGAAACCAGTCACCTGCAAGGAAGCTCAAGTGAAGTGGAGTCAAAGCTAGGGAGCATCATCTGGAGGCTGGGGACAGAGGAAAGGGTGAGGGGATAGAGGGCATGGGGCTGTACCAGAAGGCTCCTCAAGCCCCACACGGGCCTCAGAGAATACATAACTCATGTTGATGAACAATCACAAAGATAACCATCATCACTCCACCCAGGTCCTCTTCCCTGCCTGAGGCATGCTGCGTGGTGCATGAGCGGTGTACGGGACACAAGACAGCCAGTGAGGCAGGTGCTGTGAAAGCATTAGGGTCTCTCCACTCAGCCAATCAACCCTTCCTTCCCTGGTCATCGTCTCTGAAAACCTTTGGGAAATGTCTCTTTGGTGGTCCCTGTCCTACTGGTGAAGTGGTGGATTGAAGGGCAACTCTTTCTCATGACTCAGGAGCCCCAACCAGGCTAGACCTTACTGCTAGCTCAATGAACAGGCCGATGAAGACTCCATTTCCTGAGCTGGTATTCTGTAATCTTCTGCTCACTTTTCAGAAACCGGGGCTGAGTGGGGAGGAGGGGAAGAGAAGGGATTAGGGCCTTCCTATAGAGGGAAATCTTAGGGATTTACCTACTGAAGGCTAGATAAATAATTGAATTTATGTGGAGATCTAAAATGGGAAAGGGAGTTTTAAACATGAGGATAACTTCCAGGACCTACAAGGAAGAAGAAGCCAGAGAAAGAGCAAGGACGACCTGTCTCTCCTGATGGGTTTTCTAGTTTTTGATGGTTTGCAGCCTACCCTCTACCAGCAATTCTACAAGAGCCCAGTGGGCTCTGTGTCTTCTGCTTAGCTCCTCTACCTTCGAATTGCTGGGATATCTGATACTAACCCTTCCTAGTATAAAAGCATGATTAAAAAAAAAAAAAGAACAAAAATTAGTTAGAAGGATATGGCAAAACTAGAAGAAATGGAAATAAGAGAGGAATACGGGAGAAATAGGGCGAGAGGCTCTTGGATATTTGCAGGGTAAGACTTCTTTAGTTCTTTGACTGCCTTTGGGCCAAAAGAAATGTGTATTTATATAAAATCCCCCGCCCCCAATGAGAACACTTGCAGTTGGTTAAAAAGACAACAAATAATTTGCCCTGACCAGGTGGCTCAGTTGGTTGGAGTGTTGTCCTGTACACCAAAAGGTTTTGGGTCTGATTCCTGGTCAGGGCACATACCAAGGTTGTGAGTTTGATCCTCAGTCAGGTGCGTACAGAAGGTAACTGATAAATGTTTCTCTCTCACATTGATGTTTCTCTCTCTCGCTCTCTCTCTCTCTCTCTCTCTCTCGCTCTCTGATCAATAAACATATCCTTGGGTGAGGGTTTTTAAAAAAAGATAACAAATAAGCTAAGCCTGGTCAATCTATGCAGCTCATAACCATGTGAACTACAAACAGTGCAACTGTTCTTTCTTCACCCCCCGTCCCTGGGTTGGAAGGGGGGGTTGGGAAGAAGGGAGAGACAAACCCTCAGATATCTGAAACTCACAATATACTTAATACAGAGGGATTCGTTTTCTACCAAATACTGTAATAGCACTACCAGCAAACAGACTTCTCTCTCTTCTCTGTAGCCCATTTGGGAAAGGTAAAATGACTAGGGATAGGAAGGCATAAGCATTAGCAAGTATCCAATAATCTACCAATGGGAGCACCACTGGTTGAGTGTGGGCAGCATCCCAATAGATAGGCTGGCTAAGAAAGGGGTTCCTGAAACTTTATGTGCAAAATGCGATCTAAGGGCTCGCTGTAGGCGAGGCAATAGTTTTCAAACTTCCTGTTTCTATCTTTCTATTCTATTCCTAGAAGCAAGGAAAAAAATAAAAAGGTTGCTCTTCAGAAATTCCTAAATAATAAGTTTAACAGGTGAAGAAAAATGTTATTTTGACCTTTCCCTATATTTTCCTCCCTGGATGTGAATTAATTGACTCTTAAACCAGAAATTGGTTTAAAGTCCCTGAAAAATAAAACAGCAGGGCTGCTCAGCCTTGTGCATTTGCATTGGACACTTCCATGTCTTCTTCACATTCAGTTCTAACCTTTATGCCAACACTGCCAGCTGACAATAGAGTGGTCGCCAAAAAGAAGTATTATGAATGGCCAAGTTCAATACTGGTTAATTATGATAGGCCTAGTGGTAAAAAAAAAACAACCCATGGGAGCAACAGCCCCCTTCATACCTTTCTTAGGAAACCTCAAACTTGCCTCCAGATGAAGAGAGTTCTGGATTTCATTTGACCTAACCTTACATCTAGCCTCAGGAAATAGAGTTTAGACTCTGAGAAACAGACGGAGAGGAACAACAACATATCAGGACAAAGCAAAATACAAAAAAAATAAAATAAAAAAATAAAGTAAAGCAAAACAAAAAACTTGAGGAAGAAACAAGCAATGCAGAGGAACAACTAGAAAACAGGGCTATTGTCTTTAAAATGGTTATGGTTTAATAGTTTTTCAACATTATTAATAAATAAATAAGTAAATAAATAAATAGTAAATAATTAATAAATAAATAGGCAGGCACATAGGCTGGTTTTGGAGTGGGCTTTTTATCCAGTTTTTCTTCCCTTAAGTCAGAGGTCAAAGGGAAAACCAAAAGAAAAAGATAACCACGGTTGGTTAAAGTGGATGCCACGTGCTCTCTTGTGGTCATTTTAGCAAATCATGCATCATAATAGACTATCACTCACTGCCCAGAGTAGGAGATGGAACAGCATCAGGAACAGAAGTGTTGGGGGAAGATTTGACTGGTGGAACTGTTACATGGGATGAGCTAGGAACATGTTTTACATCAAGGTGTTGACCCATGGTCGGTCGCTTTATGACTCCCTTAAAATTGGCTCCCGTCTGGAATGTGTTAATTACGTCGATCTGCAAAGAATCAGAGAGTGAAACAGCTTTGCTCCACAGTCAGAGAGAGGTGAAGAGAGAGAAAGGGAGGGTGGTGGAGGGTTCGGGAAGGGGGACGGAAGGAGCTGGGAAACAGGACAGGAGAGAGAAAGCCAGATATTCCCTCACACACAAAGCAGTGGTGAGGAGCAGGGGGAAAAGTATCCATTGCACATCACACTTCGTTTAGAGAACAATTTGCCGTGGAGTCCAAATACCTAGTCAGAATCCGGCCTGCTCTCCCCTTTTAGCCAATTGGAGGCTATTTTAGGTATGCCGGTGTCCAAGGCATCTAAAATTTCTAGGGACTCCCACACTCCATGGTGCCTCAGACAGTGATAGCATCTGTACACTTAAAAAATCAGGTATGCAATTTAAAATAGAAGGCAAAGTATCTATTACTGAATCTTGAGGTTCAGGAACCTCTAAACCAATGAAATCGACTACCTATTTTTACAGATTTTCCAAGAAAATAACTCATGTGTTTAAAGGAAAAACAGCCCATACATAGGGGGCCACGGTGGCCAGGCTCCTGGGTCATGGGTTGCTGGGCTCACTCTCTTAGGGGGTTCTTCTCTGAGACATCCTTCCCTTGGTCTGAGGTGGACAGGGACAGAGAATGGAGCTCAGAAATCCAATGGCCAGGCTCTTTAGAGAGGATGCCACTAGCTGCATTAATGCATTGTAGATCCAGAAATGTCCAGCAGAAATGCTGACAATAACTCATCAGGGAGACTGAGGGAGGGTGGGGCAGAAAGAGTTGTTGCTAGTTGGTGGGTGGTGAGCAGCCTCAAGGCTAGCCCTACATAGCGGTCTGTGGTCTCCAGGGCCCTACTCATCTGGGACAGAGGCAATCCATGCCATTTGTTTTCCAGTGATGGTCTGGGTGTGGGGCCTTGGTCAAACCTACTATCCTTATCCCTGACCCCTAAGTAACAAGGAACAAATCAAAAGAGTTCCTTTATCCTTCAGAATCTGGTAGAATCATCTTAAAAACGCCCACGGGCATAGTACCAATGGCCAATCTCCCAGGAATGCTGGAAAGGGCCTGATTCCACTCATCTGACTGCATTTCCCAGGAGCAAAGGTGGGAAAGCAAGTACCGTGTGAGTCAGCTAGTCTTACTTATAAAGTTTCCTGAGAAGCCATGAAGTGTGTAGGGCTAGTTTCTGGATTCTGAGCGGAAACACCACCCCTTCGCCAGTTCCAGGGACAGAGCAGCCTGATCCCGTAGGAGGACAGGGTCTGCATGGAGGGAGGGTTCAGCTACATGGGGAAGAGGCTGTGGAGACACCTCCCTCAGCGCTTTCCTAGGGTCATGAGGTCTCATCTTCCACAACGAAATCAGATCCCAGATTTACCTTCCCCAGGGTCTAGCCCTTGTTTCCCAAACTTCTGCTTTCTAGTGCTTTTAGCTCTCCCCAGCGGAAGGGACCAGAACGGGACAAGGGCTTGGCAATACCTCCCACCCTAAGTGTTGCCATGAGAATGGCAACAGAGATCAGGAATCAGATGGCAGGGGGTTTGTTAGGACTCTGCTGAGGCTGAAGAATTGTGCCGGGAGAGAGCTTCAGGTGCCGGATACAGGTTGGCACAGGCAGCCTTGTCTGCTTACAGTCAGGTGCACCCTGCAATGGCACGGATTTGGTTACTGTGGCACCTTTCACAGGCTGCCTTTGCTGCCTAAGTCTAGGCTTTAATGCCATCTGGCCCAACCACCTCAGGCTCCAGTCGGGAAAGGCAGCATTCTTAAAGCTCTGTAGGCCATGAAACTACACAGTCCGAGGAGTGAACACTGGTGGTGGAGGGGGAAGGGAGGAAGATCCATGAGTCTCAGGCCCCAGGAGAGAAGACTGGCCAGGAGCCAGGAGACACTGGAACAAGGGAGTCCTGGCTAGGAAAGAAACCACATAGTAGAAGAGGAGGCAGAGGATCCTGAGGGGGAGAAAAGCAGACAGGTTATTTCGAAAACAGCAGATGTGAAGGAAAGCACTGGGCCTTAGGTGCCAAAGGTGCCAGGAGCCAAAGGTGCCAGGTTCCCTGTGCCCTGAGGCCACTGCTGGCTGGGCCAGCAGCCTGGAGAGTGGTGGGAGGAGGGTGGGGACTCGGGGTGTCCTGAGGCAGTGTGTGCAGGTCCCGTGGGAATTGCCTTCTCTGGGAGGAGGAACTCGAGGGAGGAGAGGGAGTCCCGGTGTTTTCCTACCTGGCCCCTTTCCCACTCCCACTTGTTCCTTGCCTCCGCGAGACAAGTTCTCAGCAGGCATTTAGTTTAGAATATCCACTGTACCTCCTCTCTATGCACTAAGGAGAAAAGGTGGGCTTGACTAGGGAACTTTCTAAATATCTGCGAGGCTAATTTTAGAGAGTGACACTTATTTCTGGGTCTCAGCCAATCAGTAGAGAGGAATAGTCCTGTTCTTTGGAGAGCGTCCTTGATATCTTGGGATTTAAAGTTTCTTGAAGTGGGAAATCTCAGGACTAATACAACTCAGGCATGTGGGGCAAGAGCAGGGAAAGTGACAGGGTTACTAGTGCCTAGACCAGCCCACTCACCCAGCAGAAGGTAGATACAGTGGCATAAAAAGTGGGGGAGAGTTTCTGTAAGGCTGTAGGCAGGGGACTTAAGAGCAAGAGGACAGCTTCTCTTCTCACACAGAAATTGCAAGAAAACGAAGTTTGGAGAAATGATAGCTTCTTTTTGGGGAAGCAAGTCTGGATCCTGCAAACGATACTCAGGCATTGAGAGACCAGTCATTTATACACACTTAGCCATCAGGTTCCCCACCATGACCTTAAATTTCAAGTGGGGAAGATTTAAGAGGGTGAGTTTCTTTTACAAAAGTCCCTCCAGGTAACATCGACAGTACCCTGGCAGCGGCTTGAGGATGTATATTAAGTGTCAGCTGGGGCTGCTGGCATAGAGACACTGTCTAACTCCTTCCTTCTGAAGGGCAGGGAAGGACTCTGAACTTTCCCACCCTGGGTTAGGTCTAGTGCTTGCGAGAGACCTCGTGCAGGAAGCTAGCCCAGCCCAATGGAGGGTGGGAAAGGGCCTTAGAACCAACCCAAAGCTGAAGGACTGAGCTATCCGTTGGTGTCCCGAGCTCTAGGTCCATGCCTCTCCTGTCAGAGGAGCTTGCACAGCTGCCTCTGCCCCCGTCTGTCCTAAAGCCAGGGAGCGAGGGCTGCCTGTAGTAGCGGGCCTTGTAAGGGAAGAGATGTTGGCCACCAAGAACGGATGCCCTCCCCAAACCTCCCATGATGGGGAGACTTCTTCTCCCAGGATGAGGCTAGACCACTATAAAGTACCTGAGTCTGGATACGGTTCAGACCCCGGAACCAGAGGATCTGGCCTCGGCGCAGCTCCATCTCCGCGTGGTCAATTTCGTCCAGCCCCTCTGCATCCCTGGTGATCTCCTCCTTGGCAGTGCCATGCCCGGCCTCCTTCAGGAACTTCAGGGATTGGGTAGGGATTGTGGAGATGACCTGAGAACAGGTGCGGCAAAGGGGAAACACCAGAATCAGGGTCAGGCCCTTGGGGAAGTCTCCCTTTGCCTTATGACCCATCCCATTGGGAGAAAAGCAGGAGAAGCATTGGATGTGCCCATAAGCTGTGAGGACCTCAGGAGGGCTTTCTGTATTGGTGGACATCCAACAGAGAACATATATTCTAGCATCTGACCAGTCGTCTGCCTAGTTATGTTTCCTTCTCCTCCTCTGTCTCAGTTCTTCCTTCTCACTATGCCATGTGTCTTTTCTGGGAAGTAGAACTATGATGCCTGCTATATGGTAGGAGGGGACAGAGACCAGGACTCAGGGGAAAGGATGGTCATGTTACATGTGTGCGAGTAAGGGGTAGAGAGGGTGTTGGAAAAGAATGAGCCTCTTCTTAGTGACCACGTGCAGAGCAATTCCTTGCTATAAAACTGTAGTGAGAGGATACTAAAGCCTTCTTGGACTTGGGTGAGGAAAGAGGTGGGGCAGGCCATGGAAGAAAGGACATATGAGTATGACCAGAAGCCACGGAGCAGTAGGGTAGGTTTGGAATTCACAATAAACCACATGGTGAGCTCAGTGCCTGTCAATCACCGGTCCTCCACATACAAGAGGAGGAGTAGGCAGGGCTCGGGTGGGAAAGGAGGGCTGTTGGGCAGTCCAACATGGACCCAAGGGCATTCAAATAGGAAGAATGTCAAGCTGTGCTTTCGGATCTTGGAAGGAGCTGCCATGATACAGGAGAAAGGCCACAGTCACAGACTAGACGCAGATGAGAGCTTCCAACAGTAGGTGAAACAACCAAGCTTCGCCCTAATGTAAGCTGCTTTAGGGAACCACTGGCAAATGAACTTCAGCAAGCAGAACAGGGCGGAGGGACCTGGGTTAGGAGCTGGGATAGCACCCAATCAGGGAGGGACCCGGGAGGTGTGAAAGAAACAACCAGCAGGTCTCCAGGGGAAGCCTGCAGCCTGGAGGGGTCTCTGGGGTCAGTTAGAGCAAAGCAGGGGCCTTGCAAAGTGGTGTTAGGACAGGAATGATACTCTTACCAGACCTGATGATACTATTATGATCTTAACAGCTAACATTTATTGCGTACTTACAGTAAACACGGTTCTCAGTCATTCTATACAGTAGCTGATTTTCTGATTAATAGCAATGAACAATGACCCTGTTATCCTAAGCTGAGGAAACGGAGGCACAGAGTGGTTAAGAAACTTGTTCAAATAGTAAAAAAGAGAGCGGGAATTCAAACTCAGGCAGTTGACCCAATCTCCATGTTCTGAGCTGTGTGCTAGACTGCTTCTCCAGAGACCTTGTGAGTCTGGATTTATTTTAGGCGAGAGTCAGGCATTCAATCCAGAGAAGGCCATGGTGAGGAACAGAAGAGTGGGTGAGCCTTAAACTGTGCCAGCAGAGTAGCCAGGGCCAGACTGAAGCCTCATTAGAATAAAGACATATGCTTTTGTAAACTCTTCTACTTCTAAGACCCTTACTTTATTATTATTATTTTAAAGCAAAATTTCATTTACATTTCCCACTCCCATCTCAGAGAAGCTCAGGCCCGGTCAGAGAAAGATCCGAAGCTTCTAAAGTGATGGGCAGTGGTCGTTCCACCTTGGGATCCTACAAGATGGGAAACATTTAAAAACTTGAGGTCTGCAGGCTGTACGCACGCTCAGGGAGGGTGGGCCTGTACTCACCTGGCCCCATAGCAGTTCTCCGATGCCAATGAAGAGACACCAAAACCACTGGGACAGGCTGAGCTTCGTACAGCTGAAAGGCTTACCCCCAAATTCCACGATGATAATCTAGAAGAGAGAAGGCGTAGCCCGCCATCAGGGAGGTGCTTAAGAGGTAGTTAGCCCTCCAGCCGAGGCCATCAGAGCCACATAAGTCCTCGCCCCAGGAGTCCTGATTTCCTTGTAGCGGAGGAGAAAGAAAAAATCCAGAATGAGAGAAGGGGAGGAAGACACAGGCTTTAGCACTCTGACAAGGAGACAGTCTTACCCTGACTAGGGCAAGAAGGAAGGGCCCGCTCCTCTTACCACCAGAGCAGCCATGCTCTTGACCCCTGACCCCACGGGAGCCCAAGCCAGGCTTATCCGTCAGCTAATGCACACCATCCCATCACTGCCCTTTCTCTGTGAACTGCACAGCACGTTATACGGAGAGAGCCCACAGCACGTGCATGCACATCTCATGTGTGCTGGCAGGGGGCCTGGGAAGGGGGTGGTCACGTTGTGAGATTTCCGTGTTTTAGGCAGATAAACGAAAGGACTCTGCATGTCTTGTTTTATTTGTCACCGACATGCTGCCTTGAGCTGGAGTGCTTGGCACAGCGGGTTCCAAGTCTAGAGCCATGTGCAAATGGAAGCCAACGGAGAACCCAGCAGCCCACAGCCCGGGTCCCCATCACTCCCTCACTCCTTTTTCCCAGGGACTTCGGGAACCCTGGCTCCCAGCTTCTGGCCTGTATCACCTCAGACTTCCTACCCCAACTCCAGCTGGCATCTCACCTGGCTGATGAATGTGCCCAAAACCACAGAACAAAAGATGAGATTACGGAAGATGCCTCCAAAGACATTCCTCTCTCCGTGGATCTTGCGTGAGTTGATTTCATTGAAGAGCTGCATCAGCACAAAAGTGTTGAAAACAATGGTGTAGTGCTGGCTGGGCGGGGAATGTAGAGGCGCGTTCCTCCCACTATCAATGTCAAAGAACTTCTCACCTAGTGGAGAGAGGGGAAGCACTGGAGGGTAAGTATGAACTCAATGGGCTCGGGCTGAGTCAGACACGTTGGTGTGGCCACCCTGCCTGCTGATGGCTGGTGTGCGAAGTGGTCAGTATCTGAGCTACGCTAATGATTAAATCTGTAAATGTTCGCCCTGACCTCCACATACCTGACTGTCTCAGTATGCCCCAATATCTATCTTCTTGTAGTGCAGTATGGTTGTAAAACCATGTGCACTAGAGTCAGGCAGACATAGGTCTGAATCTCCGCGCCACTGTTACGTGGCCTGAGCTTTCGTTTGATGGTCAATAAAAAAGGCATAACGAAACTCTTAACAGAAGCACAGAACCCGGCGTGACGGCCCTATGGCGGGAACAGAGGACACACGTGAGTGAAGCTGCTGCTCCTCCTAGTCTGTGCTCAGCTTGCTCCCTCTGCCTTCTGTCCTCGGGCCACTCCCCGCCCCATCCTCGTCCGGCACCCCAACCGCCACCTCAGGCCTCCCCACACTCGGCTCACCGGCAAAGACAAGGAAGAAGATGATTGTGAGCTGATAGACCGCGTGGCCCAAGATGTTCTTCATCATGGTCCGTGAGATCAGAGGCTTATTTCGGCCATAGGGGCGACGCTTCAACAAGGAATCGGTGGGGGGCTCTGTGGCCAGGGCCAGTGAGGCAAACGTGTCCATGATTAGATTCACCCACAGCATCTGCACAGCTTTCAACGGGGAGTCCTGGGTGGGGGAAGAAGAACCAGGGCTTTTAGCTTTCCTTAGAAGCCACCCTCCCCTCACTCGTCAGCCTCACCTTTGTCCTTGAGATGGCCTAGCTCCCGCTGTCCACCTAGACTTAGGGTCTGGCCTCCTGTACACTCCCTACTGGTGTTTGAGCCTGCAACCTGGGCATGTGTCCTGACAGGTAATCGAACCGGCCACCTTTATTTATTTATTTATTTATTAAGGTATTACGTATGTGTGCTTATCTCCCCAGTGCTCCCAACCCCACTCCCACTCATGCCCTCACCCGCCTGGTGTCTGTGTCCATTGGTTATGCTTATATGGATGCATACAAGCCACCTTTTGGTTCCTGGGATGGCACTCACCAACTGAGCCACACCGGCCAGGGCACTCCCCATGTTCCTTAGCCCCTGCCTCATCTCTCCCAGTTCAGCCCCCTCCACACACCCTCCCCTCACCTGAGTGATGCAGGCTCCGGTGAAGGCCACGATCACGGCCACCACATTGACAGTGAGCTGGAACTGCAAGAACTTGGAGATACTGTCATAGACGTTTCGTCCCCACATCACTGCCTTCACAATGCTGGTGAAGTTGTCATCTGTTAGGATGATGTCTGATGCCTCCTTTGCCACATCTGTGCCTGCAATACCCTGAGGGGAGCAGGGAAGGAAAACTGAGGAACTGGATAAAGCAGCGTTTACCAGCATTCTGAACCCAGACTCCATTTCCTGACTTCCAGGAAGCTGCCGAACTAGGGCTAACACTAGAGAGCACACCAGCCACACAAATACTAAAGATGAATTATCTTCTTTCTCAAAGAAAATGAAGGGAAAATGTGCCGCCATCACTTTACAGAAAAGAGGCCCAATGCTCCCACCTCACTCCTGAACCCAGATTGAAAATTAGTTATCTTTCGCTATTCCTCTCTCTTTCCTCCTACTCCGCCACCTTAGAAACGAATTAAAAGATAAGGAACAAATCCTATCCTACCTCCAAATTCTTAAATTTCCTTTGCCACTGCCAGTATCTCATTTAAGTGCTTATCTACCCTGCAGCTTTAAGTAGGAGAAGCAGTCTGGCAGCACAGTTCACAAGTCTTGTCCTTGTTCAAAACCTCGCCACTGGGCAAGCACTGAAGGTTTCTGAATAGACGATGAGGGGTTGAAAGCTGTGCTTTAGAAACAGTGAGATTTCTTGTCTGGCAGTCAGAGCCCTTAATAAGTGAACCCGGAAGTACTTCCAACCAGTACTTCCAACCTGCTCTTACATATCTTTCTACTCGAAACACCCACTGGTTTATTCCCTGAATCTCTCATTCACTTTTTTTTAAAAAAATATATTTTATTGATTTTTTACAGAGAGGAAGGGAGAGGGACAGAGAGTTAGAAACATTGATGAGAAACATCAATTCAGCTGCCTCCTGCACACTCCCTACTGGGGATGTGCCCAACCAAGGTACATGCCCTTGACTGGAATCGACCCTGGGACCCTTCAGTCCACAGGCCGACGCTCTAGCCAATGAGCCAAACCGGTTAGGGCTCATTCACTCTTAGAGCCTAGACTTCCACTTACCCCATCCCCCATCTGGAACACCCTCTTTCCCCATCTCCTTAAATCCTACCTATCTTTAATGTTCCACTCAATTAAGCGCTACTTGCTTTGCGCAGCTGTCCCTGACACCCCTGGCCCGTGCTTCTATTCCATATCAAACATGCCTTGTGACATCTGTAACCTGAGGAGGATCTTGTTAGTTAATTTGGCTGCATTACTAGATTATTGGTTCTCTTTACCTGGTAGTATTAGTTTCCTATCCAGAGCGCAACAGAGGAGTATCTGTTAGACTAAATAATTCACTTTCCCCATCAAAAGTTCTCTAATACACCCATGCAGTGCTGTACCATGCACCGTAAAAAGAGGAGGAAAATAAAAGAGGAATGTCTCTCTATACTGCCATCATGGAATAATCTCTAAGTTATGCTAAGCGAAAAAAGCAAATGGAAAAAAGTGCATAGTACATGTATTTTATAGGAGCAAACAGAAGGATAAACCAAAAAACTAAAGAAATAAGTTCCATGTGGGGTTAAGAGGGAGATAATAGGGTGGAGGTGATAGGAATAGAAGCTAGATTTCTATAAACAGACCTTATTTTCTATATTTGACTTTAGAACTATCTAACTACTTTATATAAGTACTAAACAAAATTAAGTTTAAAAAGCAGTTCCTAGCCCTGGCTGGTGTGGCCCGGTTAGGTGGAGTGTCATCCTGTGCACTGAAAGGTCACGGGTTTGATTCCTGGTCAGGGCGCATGCCTAGGTTGCAGGTTCAGTCCCTGTTTGGGGTGCATATGAGAGGCAACCAACTGATGTTTCTCTCACATCAAATTTTTTTTTCTCTCTTTCTTCCTCTCTCTCTAAAATCGGTAAAAAACATGCGCTCAGGTGAGGGTTATATATAAAAAAAAGGTATGCCCTAGCTGGTTTGGCTCAGTGGATAGAGCATCGGCCCACAGGGTCCAATTCTGGTCAAGGGCATGTACCTCAGTTGCAGGCTCAACCCCCAGACCTGCTTGGGGTGCGTGCAGGAGGCAACCAATCAATGTGTCTCTCTCACGTCGATGTTTCTCTCTCTGTCTCTCCCCCTGCCTTCCATTCTCTATAAAAATCAATAAAAAATGCCCTTGGGTGAGGATTAACAACCACAAAACAAAAAACATAAGGTTCTATACTTCACTCACCATTGAATAAGGTATAAAATTAAAAAGCAAAACAAAGCAATCTCTAAATTGAAAAGCAACATGATGTAAAGGAACTGGTATGACCAGTTGGTAACACAACTGTACAAAGGACAAATGTCCCAAGTGACTTTTTAAAAGCACAGCAAGTTGGTGGCACGTTCTTAGTAGGATGTACCTGCAGGGTGAAAAGAACCGTAAGAAAAACCTTTAACTGCTTTTAGTAGAGTAACCGTATTATTGTTGCTCTTTTGAAACCATTATGTGTATTTTTTACATATAAAGCAAATAACTAATTATGTTAATGTCCTTAGACATCAAAAGAGCACACATTCCACATGGAACACGAATTTTCCACGTGAGCCTAGACACAGACTACTACCATGTCCACAGGGCAAGTCCAAGTTGGCCTCGAGTTCCTGGGTCATGCCACTTCCTCATTTCCCTGCCTGTGTCACCGAGCCTTCGTACTCCACGGTCCCCGTTTTTGCATATTATTACTGGCTGGGTAGGTAGAGAAATGAAGTCAGAGACAGGAGCAGCTGCTTACCATCGCAAAACCCACGTCCGCTTTCTTCAGAGCCGGCCCGTCGTTGGTGCCATCACCTGTGACCGCCACCACCTGTCGCTGTTCCCCAACCGTGCTGTCAATGATGCCTGGGAAAGGCAGACACCCTCGGTCAGTCCGCCTGTGCCGTCGCAGGCCGTTTGGCAAGCCTTGTCCCCACACAAGGTCTTCTTCCCGGATCCCGCCATCACCTCCCTTCCTGCTGCCTCCCCACTGCCCTCTGCTCGACGTGACCATCACCCAAGGGCAGTGCATTGAGCAAGAAAGTCAAGGGGAGTGTGCGAGGAAGATAGTCGGTCTTCCTCACACAGCGCCTGGGGCCCCCAGACAGCTGTTACATGGCACAAAACCTCCACGTGGCTTGAAGGCAGACACCTGGGGTCAAACTACCATGTCCACGCACCAGCTGGGCAGCGTGGGCACGCCACCTGTCTTTTCAGCCTCAGACTTAACCTGCCCTGCCTAGTTCATAGTATCATTGGCAAACAACATAGGGTGGGGCAAAAGCAGGTTTACAGTTGTGAGCAGGTGAGTTTATTCTTGTTATTATTATTTATTCTTGGTGTATTCTTATATTTATTAATTATTGTATTATTTTCCATACAAACAGCTGTAACTCTGCTTTTGGTAATGTTTAAAAACAACTTTATTATATGCCTGATACTCACCAGGGGCTCAGCTTTTGCTAAACTGTATATTGTCCCCATGAGCCAGCGAGCTCTCCAGGACCACCCTGCTCAGGACAGGGAAGTAGCTTTGGCGTCTGGTTTCTACCTGTCCCCGCCCCGGCCTGTCTTCCTTACCCGTCCCTGCTCAGGGGCTGACCTCACCTTTCACCAGCGTGTGCTTGTCCGTCGGGGAAGATCGCGCCAGGACTCGAAGCTTAGGCCAGATCTTGTCCAGCTTTTCTTGCTCTACCTGCCAATACCAGACCACACCTGGGTCAGTCAAGTTCAGAAGAGCCCCCCAGGGAAAACCCCCCGTTCCGCACACTCCAAGCTGCGGGGAGAGCTATGCTCCACAGCCAGGGGAGGGGTCGCCTGCCCCAGTGCAAATGCAGCAGCTGACCCCGTCTCCAAGGGCAGATTCACCGATGGTGCCCCTCTAGGCCCTGCTTGTCTGCCTTCTCCTCCCGATTCCCTACCTGGAGCTGATCCCCTATTTCTAAACCCTTGATGGGGGGTGAGCCAGAGTCAGCTAAATGGCTAAAGTGGTGCTTCTGAGGCCTCAGGTTTGATTTTGACACAGACCAGGAAGCTCTGGTCTGCTCCACACCCAGACCACGTCCTCCTACAAACCCTGCCACTGTCAGACACAGGGCAGTGACCCAGGAGGACAGAGGCCGACTAAACAAAAAACCAAAAAACGGAAAGATGTGAAAAGTCAGTGACACCCCCTCAAAAGTGAGCTTGTGAATGAAGGTCGTGAGAAGGAAGCTCTTCATTCTACCACCGGAGCAGCCTTGGTGGAAGGGATGTTCACTACGAGTAACTTCCAGTTTGAAAAGCACCACTTTCTCCCATGTGCCCCGGTGCGAAACGAGGGCCCGGTTCCGCTTGCCCAGGACCCACCTCGCCCTTCTCGTTGCGGATGAGTCGGTTGAACTCCTTCCCTTCCAGGCACAGGAAGTCGTCCCCGGGTGAGATGATGCCACATTTGGTGGCAATGGCCCGGGCTGTGTTGACGTTGTCCCCTGTCACCATTCTGACAGTAATGCCAGCCCGTCTGCACTTGGAAATAGCGTCTGGGACCTGCGGAGGGGGAGGTGGGAGGAGAGGAGCAGCTGGTGAGCGGCCCTGCTCAGCTGCTCCTTCATCGTGGACAGGACCGGGGCCCCCTCAGAGCAGTGCCACCCCACTTCTGCCGCATTAGAATTAGCCTCGTGTACCAGGCGTTGAAGGGGAGACTGGCTGCAGGAGCCAGGATTAGAAGCTCACTCTCGCACGTGCCATCTAGACTCCTCAGCGGGGCACCTATGGCCTTTTGAGATGTGGCCACTGCCTTCCTTTCTAGCAGAAGTTTTTACACTCTCCACCCTCTCTCCCTGCTCCCCGGCCCACTCTCCAACCACATCAACTCCTTGTGGTTTCCCAAATGCAGGACACCCTCCCAAGCTTCTGGGTCTTGATAATTGATAGCCTATCTCCCTGAACTTCTCAGGAGCAGAGGCTTTTGCAATTCCCTAGGGCAGTGATGGCGAACCTTTTGAGCTCGGCGTGTCAGCATTTTGAAAAACCCTAACTTAACTCTGGTGCCGTGTCACATAGAGAAATTTGTTGATATTTGCAACCATAGTAAAACAAAGACTTATATTTTTGATATTTATTTTATATATTTAAATGCCATTTAACAAGGAAAAATCAACCAAATAAATGAGTTCGCGTGTCACCTCTGACATGCGTGTCATAGGTTCGCCCTCACTGCCCTAGGGTCAAGAACAGTGTTGGGCTATTCTGAGGGGAGGGGGAATCAACAAAAATATGTTGGTTGCAAGAAGGTGGCCAGAGACAAAGCTGGTGTCCTGATTAATTCTTCCTCCTGACTATTCTCATGAGCCAAACGATGAGCCCAGTGAGCCCTGTGCTGCGCATCCCGAAGCAGCGCTAACCGGAGGGCTGGCGCCTTCTGTCAGCTCGGCACTCTGCAGTTCTGTGGGGCTGGCAGCACTGAGACAGCTCTCCGTGTAGGCGAGCAGCAGTTAGGTCACTTGCGTGGGTCACAACTTGAAGCAGAGCCAGTACCCTCGTTCCCGTGACTCCGGGTGGCTTCCCAGTAGGTCACGTGGGGCCTACACATGGGCCAGAGACTTCCACTCAGGTGTTCTTGCCCTTTCTCCAACCCAACGTCTCACCTCTGGGCGTACAGGGTCCTCGATGCCCACCACTGCGATGCAGGTCAGTTCAGTGAGGATTTCGTTCTCATGGTCCCACGGGGGCTCTACGTCATTGAAGTCTCGATAAGCTAAGCAGATGGTCCGGAGTCCCTCACTGGCCATGGGCTCGATGACAGTGTGCACTACCTCATCGCGGTCCGTACTCTTGAATGGCACTGCTTCTCCGTTCTTGTCCAGGATGCGATTACACCTGGGGAGGCGCACAGTCAGAAAGCAGACATTCTGGCAACTCTGCAGGTCTTCTAAAAACCCTGTTCCCCGGCCAGAAACCTCTATCCACCCCCCAGCCGGGCCCCCTTTTCAAGGTGGGGTGGCCTGTAGGTCGACAGGCACATCTAGAGAGGCGGAGTGTGTGATTCTCCCATGTCATCTGTTCCCACGCATGTGGGACGCAGTGCCAAGAGTCATTTGTGGAACTTGTCAAAGGTGGAGAGATGTTTTTTGTGCCCAGTATCTACAACAGTGCTCAGTGGGTAGGGTGTGTTCAATAAGAATGTGTTCATTGACAAAGGTGGCCAGAGCCAAGTGGGGTGCTGGTTAATTCAGTTACTGGCCCTAGACCCATGCAGGTCAACTGGTAATGGCCTGTGGGGGTTACCCAGCCACTTTGAGTAGCTTATTGACTTCCCTGTAATTAGAATTGAGAATAAGAAGGAAGAGGGAATACAGAGCTAACATTTCTTGAACTTGCCGTGTGCAAGGAAGGTGTTTACATACATCGAATCATTTAATTATCACAACCCTGTGCGATGGGTGGGTATTGCTCTCTGCTTTCAGACTGGGGATGGAAGCTTGAACGGCCTGAATCCTGGCTGGGCCACTATTAGTTGCATCACCTTGAGCCAGGTACTTCTCCTCTGTTTTCTCATTTGTAAAAGAGATGATGATAGCATCTTCCTCACTGAATTGTGAGGATTAGGTAAAACGGCCACCGAAGGGACTTAGAGATAATCCTTGGCCTGAGTAAGTGCTCAGAGGCTAGGAGCTGGCACATCACTCGGTGGGTTCGGCCTCGGGCAAGTCCCCTGGACCTTCCTGAGGGAGGATCGGGAAGGGAAGCGGGGGAAGGAGAGCTCACTTGCGCAGAATGATCTCAGAGGCGCCCTTGCTGTACATGCGGTAGCCGCCGCCGGGCTTCTGGATGACCGTGCTCATGGACTTGCGCGCCGAGTTGAAGGTGTACACCTTGTAGAACTTCTCCTCGGGCACCTCGCTGCGCACGGCCTGGTAGTCCTGCTTCAGGTCGATGACGAAGCCCAGCAGCGAGCACTCCGTCTTGTTGCCCACCTGCCGCGGCAGGCCCCCCTCCTTCTCCGGAGGCTGGGAGGGAAACACACAGGCACCCTTGAAGAAGATGCCTCCGCCAGGGAGACCTCAGGAGGGGAAGAACGCCCCGCAGACCTTTCACATGTTTGCAATGTGGAATGACAGAGCCCAGGGGGTGGGAGGACGACGTTTGTTTTTTTCAAGGGCAGGTGGACAGTGGTCAGTGGGACTGATCCCTGAGCTGTCTGGGTTATGGGTTTTCAGTTTGCCCTGGGGTCGGTGCTGGTGGCTCACCCTTTGTGGATCTCATTCTAATCCCCTCTCTGAGTTTCTGGAAAGTGAGTATTTTACTCCTGATAAGCCCAGTTCTGCTCTCAGCGTGAGGCATCTCCCTGGAGATATTGTCTTTACATGGTAATTGGAGGGCATTTCCTCAGGGAAGCGGGAGGCCTCAGGGCTGACTGGCACAGGCAAGCGCTTTGCGGTGCGCTTGGTCCACAGTCAGGTCCCAGGAAATACGGGTAGCTAATGTTATAATAATATTTTTATTAGAATGTTCTGATTATAAAAATAAAACTTGTTTTCTTTAAAGAAAAGAAAAAAAATAGATTCCTACCTGTCACCCCGCCTGCCACCCCCAATCTACTTCCATGGATTACTCCATAGTTTCACCCCAAACGCATTCACTTGAGTAGGAAATGCAATGTGGAATGGCAGCTCAGGCAGAATGAACAAGAGAAGATGACTTGTCTCAGAGAAAATGAATGTTCCCTCCAACCGCCCATTCTAAATGTCCAGGCAAAGGAGGAGCTTACCAGGATCTTGGAGGTGTAGGCACTGTTGATAGAAATGCCATTGACAAGAAGGTCCAGGACCTTAGGCGCCAAGACATCAGGGCTTGGGACCTGACGGTAATGGGTGTTTCCAATGTAAGCTTGTACCACCGTCATGCGGTTCATGGTCAACGTGCCTGTCTTGTCAGAGCAAATGGCGGTGGCATTGCCCATGGTCTCACAGGCATCCAGGTGCCGCACCAGGTTATTGTCTTTCATCATTTTCTACAGAGGACAAGAGAAAAGACTTGAGAGGGGAGCCACTAAGCTCCCCCAGGATAGGTCCAAGGCCATTTCCTAGCGAACATCTTTCCACATTTCATTCTCTTGTCCCACAGAAAAATGCGGGATACTATTCTTGTGCGTCCTCTTTAGATTCCACTGAGTCATTGACACACTGATGCAACTATCACAGTGGTCTGTCCACAGGACCTGGGACTGGTGCCCTTATGAGGTACCACACGGAGTCTATAGAGCATAGGTGGCCCTCCTTTTGTCAAAGGCTGTGTGTGGCACTCTCCCCTCCCACCTGTGTCCTGAGGGAAGAGAAAGTGTCATTCTGGTCTCACCTTCACAGAGTAGGCCAATGAAATGGTGACGGCCAGTGGCAGCCCCTCCGGCACAGCCACCACCAGGACAGTGATACCGATGATGAAGAACTTGACAAAGTACTGGATGTAGATGGGGGTGCACTCGGCTAGCCATGGCTTGCGCTGTATCACGAAGTTGTCAATCACAAAGTACAGAATCAGGATGAGAACGGTGACAGCAGACATGATTAGACCTGAACAGGAAACAGGTCACGTGAATGCCGGCACTTGGTCATTCCTAGGACCCCTAGGACCCCAAGGCTGCTACCTCCAGGAAGTCATACTAAAATCCCCTCCCCATTCTTGTTGCTTGCATGAGTGTAGGGAGAGCCATGGGCTTTGCATTCAGAGACACAGGTTCTGTCTCAGCACTGCACTGATTTGACTCTGGTTTTGGTCTAGTCTCTGACCCTGTCCGGCCTGTTTCCTCACACTAAGTAAGGGGGCTGGCCTCGTGTTCTGAAACAGCATTCTATGATCTTATCTCAGACCTACTCTCTTCCCACGAGTCACAATGCAGTGATTATATTCGCCTGCTTCCTAGTAGTTTTTCAGGGTAGACTTTCCCCATAGCAGCCTGAGAATGCCAGGCAATTTTGCAACTTGTTTACAGCGATGTCCCCACGGTGTTAGCATAGCACCTCCAAGACCAATCTCTAGTACAGTGGCTCCCAACCTTTCCCCTGACATGGCACAGACTAAAGGAGGCAACAACAGTACATATTTATGTAGTGCCTACTATGGGCCAGGCAAGCACTTCCTAGAAACTAACCTATTTCATGCTCACAACAACTCGGTGAGATAAGTTACTATCATTGTCCCCTTTTCTGAGGAAACTAAGGCACAGAGAGGTTTTGGGTAGGGCACACTGGTGACCAATCAACCATCTGGCTTGCAGGTGAGCAGTTTCCTGGGGATGTGGGAGAACTCAGGAGGAAAATAATTCTCTTTAAAATGTGGTCAACGTGCTAAAATCAAGAAAGTCCCCAGCAAACTGGGACAGCTGGTCAACCTACACACCAAGGCACATGGAAGGCTCTGCTCAAGGTCTATAAACAACTGGCCCAGGGGCTCCGATGGCCCTCGGGTCAGCATCTGTGCAGAGGCAACGATGTCTGTGGTATCATGTCTGCCTTACACCGTAGTCCGGTTGGGTCTTCACTTTTCCTGAGGGCCTGCTGAGCAAGGCTAGAGGTGATCAATGAATATCAATGAGAACATATTCTTTTGCACTATGCTTCATCAGGCTCAGGGCCTCGGTGAGGCAAACAAGGTGTCCAGGGTACGAAACTGAAGGAGGTATTCCTCTCTGGGTGGCGCAAGGCACCTCATTTTCCTCATCCCAGTCCCGGCCTCGCTTGAAATGTAAAATAAAACAGCAGAGGAGACGACTGGCCAGCCATCAGGAAGTCTGTACTTCCCACAGAACAACACGGGGATTAGGAGGAAAATAGGAAGGATTAGGTGAGTCTGGTTAATGTTCCAAACCTGTGTGACAGGCTCAATAACTTGACTCCACACCTGCATTTCATCCCATCCATGTCTAGCTTATATTTAAGAGATTTCATGGTAGTCAACATTAGTTGGGTAAAAGAACTGAGTGCACAGGCTAGACTAGCGCTAACAGAACTCACGGTGGTATTTAAAATATCCTCTATTTACACTGTCCAATATAGTAGCCACCAGCCACATGTCATTATTGACTAGTCAAAATAAGGTCAGTGTGAACTGAGGAACTGAGTGTTTAATTATATTTAATTTTAGTTAATTTAACTAGAAACAACCAAACATGGTTGGTGGCTACGGTGGTGGACAATAGATTCTAGTGTGTGTTTAGTGGGTCAGTGGCATTGGCCTCACCTGGGCTTGTTAGAAATGCAGACTCTCAGGCCCTGCCCAGACTTCCGGAATCAGACACTGTGCTTTCACAAGGTTCCAGGTGAACTGTACACACAGATGCACTGAGCTAGACTATGACTGTAGTGAGCAGAGGGGTGGGGTCAGGAAGTAATTCAACAGTGGTGCCTGGAGGGACATGTCTGCTGAAGGAGCAATCTTCCTTTTGTTCTGCCTCCAAACCCCTCACCCCAGCCCACCACTGAAAGAATGCAGAGGACAGACTTATGGCGGGAAGTCAGGAGAAGCCACCTCCTCCTGCGACTCACAAGAGCACGCTAGTGACCTGTTGTCTGCATCAGACTGTGTCCCTTCCCCCTCTATCTTCTGTACACCCCCTGACCCCATCTTTATTTTGAGTTTATGGCTCTGTGCCTGGCCTGATGCTACTACTCTGCTAGGGAACTACCTCTAACAACCTTCTCTACCCTTAAGGAATTGACAAGCCCATACATGTGACAGGTAAGCAGTTCCCTTCTTGCTAATGTAAATCTCCCGTGTTGTGATATAAGTTCCTAACTTCCCACGTGTCTGGATGAGAGAGACCTCAGGGCCTTAAACCCTTACACGTGGGCAAACACTTCTCTCTGAGAGCCTAGGAGGGGTCATGATGCGGCTGCCTAGACCGCACCAGCCCCTGGGAAGGCTCAGCTTCCTCTGCCAGACCTGGTGGGTGTGGAGGGAAAGGAACCGACGCAGTGAGACTCTGGAACAGCCTCGATAAACCACAACCACCGGAAGGCTCCACTCGACTCACCAGCTTTCCCGATCTGGACAGCCAAGCGCGTCAGCTTGCCCTGCAGCACCGACTTCTCTTTCTTGGGCAGCTTGACCACCTTCTTCTCCTTCTCCTCATTGTCGATGCCTTCCTGGCTGTTGAGTGGCTGGATCTCCAGGGCCACCCCATCCTGAGCCTTTGCTAGGGTGCACACACAAATAGGACAGGTGAGCAGGCAGGTAGCAGCACGGAGCAGCAGACAGGTGGAAACCAAAACACCCTTCTGTCTTCTTCCTGGATACACCTTGGACCCCTGACATCAGTCCTGACCACTCTCACCCTAGGCCAGAGTGGGCACTGGCCTTCAACCCTCTATTACAGCCATGGGACAATATTCTAAGAACTGGAGATAAAACAGGGGTGCTTTGGGGGTACAGATTCCCTCAGATGGTGCAGCTTCCTGGCACCACCTTGGAGCCCCAAGCCAGGTTTATTCTAGGGAGAGGATTAGTCATGCCATTAAGTGCTATTACCAACAACCACACTTCCTGGAAGTTAGCAGTCACTACAGTGAATCTTTCTTGCAGAAAGGGGCTGAGGGAAGGCTGGCAGATGTTTCCAGAGCGTAAGTGTCCTAGTCCGCTCTGTGAAAGGTTCCCCTCTCTCTACGCAAAGACTGCCAGGGAAGAAACACAGACCCCCTTCAAGGGTGCTCTCCAGCTCCTTCTCCTATCGGGTGAACAAGGGAAGGGAATCCCTGGTAAAGGTGGGGAGTCACAGAGTAGGACCTGGGGCTAGTCTTCTGGGGGAGAGGGAAGAAGCTGCTGCGAGGGACCCCTGGAGTAAGAGAAAGAAGGGCTAAAGACAGACACATAAATCCATTTTGCTCTTTAAAGAAGAGACAGAGAGACCTAAAATTAAAGAATCATTTCTGTGCCGCCCTGGTTCTCCAATGTGAAGACTTTATTTTTAAAGACTGCTATGATACGGGCAACAGAGGACTATATTCCTAGGCACTGTCTGAGAGCAGTGCTCTCAGGTTCCCACACCCTCCAACTTCGCCCCTGCAGAGCTCGGCCCACTGTGTGTAGGGTGCCCTTTCCGAGATGTGGTCTCTGCTGTCAGACTCACAAATAAGACAGAGACGGATGTTAGCACAGCCACCAAGAGGAACACACATCAGATCAGGCGGAAGAAAACAGACTGTGGAAAGAACAAAGAAAGAGGTAGGAGAGAGGCACAGAGAAAAGGCTCTCTCCGAGCACCTGAGACCAGCAGAGGATTCCAGACCAGAAGAGAACACCGATGAGGAAGCCAGCAAGAGGAGGGTGCAGGGACTGCCCACCCCGGCGCCCTCCACCATAAGGACCCTGAAGTCTTCCAACCCAGACACTGATGATTAAATCCAGCCTAGGGTAACGGGGAAAGA